TCCTCCTCCTCCTCCTCCTCCTCCTGGGTTGGGGGGCAGAGGAGACGCTGCCCCTTAGGACGCCTCTTTCAGGAAGGGGCTGAACTTAAGGAAGGTTTGCAAATCAAATGAAAGAAAACGTTGGCTTAGAAATGCATCGTATTTTGTCAGCCAGATGTTTTAAATGCTATTTTGTGCGGTCCTTAATAATAAAATAAATCCAAGCCTTGTTGCTAAAAATATAGCAACGATTTGATTTTGTGGGATAATCAGGGAACATTTTACAATAAAAGTTCTGAAAGATTCTGCGGTCGTTGAAATGCTAGACGTGGGAAATCTGGCACAGGGCTTGCAATTAGGATCCCCGCCTCCCTCTTCCCTTTTCCTCCCCGCTTCGTGCCGGCTCATCCCTCCTTAGTGGCCGGAAGCTGCCTCCGGACGCAAGGGAGGCGGCCATACCTCGCGGTCCAGCCCATCTTGAGCGACACGGATTTCCCCGGAGAGCTCATCGATGGCAAACATCCCCGCCCCTTCCGGGCCCAGGAGGGAGTACCGGAGGGCCGCGTTGTCGGTCTCGGGGTCGTCGGCATCTGTGGCTTCTGCCTTCAACACAAAGGCCCCTGAAAAGCACGGAGCCCTTTAGGGCACCTGGCCCAATTCCTCCCACCAGGGAAACTCTTCCGGGGCCTCCGGGGGTTCCCCTGCCGCGTGATCCGGCCCCACATGTTGGTGCGGGACCTTTGGGAGAAGCAAAGGTGGGGGCCAGGATGACCGCCTTGGTCACTGCTGTATAATGGCTGCTTCCAAGGGCAGCCAGAAATTGCACAGGTAGAACTGCTCTCACGCACCTGGGCGAAGGAGGGAATGAAATCGATGGCTACTGAAGGAGGGATGGAGGAGCACTTGGAGCATTAAATGCGCCCCGTTCCCCGATGAGAGTAAACAGCCGCAAGGGCTGCAGAATCCCTCCTGCCTCTCCTGTTGGGCCAGACCAAGGGGCGGAAGGTGGGGGGGATGCGCCCACCTGGCTCGGCCCCTTCCACCACCTGCCCTGTGAAGACGTCCCGCTGGAACAGAGGCCGGTTGTCATTCTGGTCCAGGACGAGGATCTCCAGGTCAGTGGGGTCTTCCAGAGGGACCCCGCCCAAATCGAGGGCAAAAGCCTTCAGCTGGTTGTGGGGAGAAGAGGAGGAGCCCCATCTCAACTGGGGAAGGCAGCCTCTGCCCCCCCTGGGGGAGCCTGGGTGGCTTATGGGGCAGGCAGGGCAATTCTCCAGGGTTGGATGGAGGTTGGTGGAGTTTCGGCCCCCTCCCTTTGGGTGGAACTGGGGGGGAGGGGAGGACCCAAACATCTGGATCCTGGGCTGATCAGAGTCCGGCCCCCGTTTCCTTACCCGGAAGCGATCGTGTTTTTCCCGATCCAGCACCGTGTTGAGGTAGACTTTGCCGCTCCGATTATCGATGGAGAAGATGTCCTTGGGATCTTCATCAACCCCGGGACCCTTAATGCTGTAGACCACGACCCCCGGCTGCTGCTTGTCTGACTTAATCTGCAGAGAGGGAAGCGGACTCTGGGGGGGTGAGACGGCCTCCCCCAGGCTCTTGCCCTCCCTCTCCCCCACCCACCCCCACCTGAGGCTGGAGAAGGTGGGCATCCCACCCGCCCTGGGACAGCAGAAGCTATCCCAGTTTTTCCAGCTGTTCCTACAGATGTCAAGAATGGACTTGTGGCTGCAGCATCAGTCTCCTTGTGGGGAAACCAGGACTCTCCTCTGGAATTGGATGGGGAGTGGGATCCCCTGGGAATGTGGGCTCAGGGGACAGGAGGGATGGGGAGCAGCAGACCCATAAGCCCCGATCATCACAAGGAGGGTTGTGAACGCCCATCCCTCCCCCCCCAACTGAGCGATGGTCCCTGGGCTGCTTCTAAGAATCAGTCTGGCTCTCCGTCTGGAGGATGGAGGCCCCGGCCTTGTGAAGCAGCCAGGGAGGGCGGGTGGCCAGAGGGGGGCTCAGCACTGGACGGAAGAGGGGCTGCCCAGCTACCCCCCGCCCTCTGAGGGAGACTCCAAGTTAGAGGGGAGGCAGAGCAGCAGCAGCAACAGAAGAAGAGCTGCCCTTCCCCCCTCAAACTCTGCCTGTGAATCTCTGCTCCCCCCCCACGCCCTCCCCCCACAGCCTCTCCCCCCACCTGGACAAGGAGATATGGCAGCCGCCGGTGGTTCTCAGGGAGGCTGATGGGGGGGATGACCCAGGCCCGCTTGACCCTCCTGGTGGCTGGACGGCTGCAAGAGGCACCCTGCAGGGAAGGAGGAGAAAAGGCCAGTCAGGATGGCGCATGGCAGAGCCATTCGTTCTTACGTCCGTCGTTTGTCTGGGGAGGGGAGGGGAGGGCCGGTCAGCCTGCCCTGGGGAAGCCCCAGAGGGGATCCAGAGGCCTCTTCTCTTCCCAAGACCTTCCATGAACAAAAGGAGGCTGAGGCCTTTGGACAGGTGCTGCCAGGGTCCCTGGGGGTCTTTCCCTGCTGCTGCTCGGTCGCCCCCTCCCTCCTTGCCCCACTGCAGGGACTAACCCCCCCCCATGGGCCCATTTGGCCAGCAGCTGCTCTTGGGGCTTGCAAGGGAAGGTTGGAAGCCCCCCTGGTTCAGCCCAGGGAGGAGGCTGGCCAAGGACTTCTCAGCCAGGGCTCTCCTTCCATCAGGCAGGACCCCCGGCAACTCAAGAGCCCCCAACAGCCTGGGAGGCCCAGAGGGTCCCTGAAGGGGCTTCCTTCCCCTGCTGGCTGGGTAAATGCGCTTCCCTTTTCTTAGCTGGGGGTGAGGGGGGGGGCAAAGCAGCATTTCTGGAAGAAAACCAAATATTGCAAGTTTGGCCGAGACAACATTGCTTGTGACGGGACCTCCGGAAGCCCCTCGAGAGGCCGGGCGGAGGGTCCAGCCAGAGGCCCAGCAGGGGCTCCTCTTCCCCCCCCTCCCCCCAGCCCTGCCTTCCTTGCGTGGGATTGCTCAGCCGAGGCTCATCCCAAGGGAGCGGCTGGGACTTCCGGCATTCCTTCCCTGGCTCTGCTTTGGGAGAATTCGGCCTCTGACCCTTTCCCNCCCCCGTGTGCAGCACTCCCTTCTCCCAGGAAGGCCCCAAACGGCCAGACCCTCCGGAGGCCCCTCCCAGAGCCCAGCTGCCTCCGGAAATGGGGGGCCGAGTCAGAGGCCAGGAAAGGCAGCCCAGAAGGGAGTCCCAGAAACCCCCCCGCCACGGACCTTGTAGGGCTGGAGTCGGTGAGGACTAGAGACTTCATCCTTGCAAGGAGGAGGAAAGGGGTGGGGTTGGGTTTGCTGGATCTTATCCTGAATTCCAAATCCAGGGCTTTGGAAGCACCCTCCCCCTCCGGCCGCCTGGGGTTTGGCTCACCTGAGCCGCTGGGCTTGCTGGGTGTCTGGGTCCCTGGCGCGCAGGAGGGCGATCTCGGTTCCAGCCGCTGCCCCTTCGTTCGCCCTCCCCCTGCAGGGGCTGTCCAGGAAGAAGGGGGCCTCGTTGGCGTCCGTCACCTGCAGCTGCACCCTGGCCAAGGCGTGGGTGGCCTTGGGGGCGGAGGGGTGCAGGGGGCTCTGGTTCTGCACAGAGACCAGCAGCTCGTAGCGGCTCTGCTCCTCGTAGTCCAGGGCCTGGCGGGAGGGGGACGGGGAGACAGGGAGACATGGGGTGGGGAAGCTTTTCTGGGGCACGACTGCTACTCCCCCCTCCCTTGGCCTTTGCCCCCCCCTCCTGTCCTGGTGCAGAAGGCGGCATCCGGCCCCTCCTGCCCACCTCTGCCCCCTGCTGCAGGAACGGCCCCAGCGCTCGGCCAGAGAGGCTCTCCCGGCCCCCCTTTTCCCCTGGAAGGCCTTTCGGCTTCTGTCTGGAGAACTCCAGGCAGCCACCGGCCCCAGAGGACCCCTGGGAGGAGAGGCTCAGCTGGTGTGGCAGGATGAGCCCCGTCCCCCCCATTGGCCCTGCTCCGGAGCAGAGCCCGGCCCTTCCTCACCTTGGCCAAAGAGATGACCCCCTCATTGGTCAGGGGGTCGGGGTGGATGGAGAAAGCTGCCCCGGGGTCCCCCTCCAGGATGGTGAACTTGGACAGCCAGTTGGGGGAGCCCGGCTGGTCCCTGTCCTGCACTGTCAGCCGCCCGACCTCCAGGCCCTGGCGGTTCTCGGGGGCCTCCAGGCGGAACTGCGAGAGAAGGGGGGCAGCATGGAAAGGGGGGCTCATCCTCCTCCCCCCCTCCCCAGGGCAGAAGAAGTTGCCTGCCGGAACCCATCCCTGCTGGGGGGGGGCGCTCTCCCCACCTCATCCGACACGAACTCTGGAGGGTTGTCGTTGACGTCTTCCACGTGGATGGTTGCCACAGCTGTGGTGCTCAGGCCTTCTCCAGCCATGTCGGCCACTTGGAGGGTCAGGTTGTAACTGCCCGTCACCTACACAGGGAGTGGCCAGGAAGCGGTAAAGGCTCCAGGAGTTTGCAGTCCTGTCGCCAGCCGTGTCTCTGAGCCCAGGGCACCGCCTCCTCCTCCTCCTCCTCCTGGGCTGGGGGGCAGAGGAGACGCTGCCCCTTAGGACGCCTCTTTCAGGAAGGGGCTGAACTTAAGGAAGGTTTGCAAATCAAATGAAAGAAAACGTTGGCTTAGAAATGCATCGTATTTTGTCAGCCAGATGTTTTAAATGCTATTTTGTGCGGTCCTTAATAATAAAATAAATCCAAGCCTTGTTGCTAAAAATACAGCAACGATTTGATTTTGTGGGATAATCAGGGAACATTTTACAATAAAAGTTCTGAAAGATTCTGCGGTCGTTGAAATGCTAGACGTGGGAAATCTGGCACAGGGCTTGCAATTAGGATCCCCGCCTCCCTCTTCCCTTTTCCTCCCCGCTTCGTGCCGGCTCATCCCTCCTTAGTGGCCGGAAGCTGCCTCCGGACGCAAGGGAGGCGGCCATACCTCGCGGTCCAGCCCATCTTGAGCGACACGGATTTCCCCGGAGAGCTCATCGATGGCAAACATCCCCGCCCCTTCCGGGCCCAGGAGGGAGTACCGGAGGGCCGCGTTGTCGGTCTCGGGGTCGTCGGCATCTGTGGCTTCTGCCTTCAACACAAAGGCCCCTGAAAAGCACGGAGCCCTTTAGGGCACCTGGCCCAATTCCTCCCACCAGGGAAACTCTTCCGGGGCCTCCGGGGGTTCCCCTGCCGCGTGATCCGGCCCCACATGTTGGTGCGGGACCTTTGGGAGAAGCAAAGGTGGGGGCCAGGATGACCGCCTTGGTCACTGCTGTATAATGGCTGCTTCCAAGGGCAGCCAGAAATTGCACAGGTAGAACTGCTCTCACGCACCTGGGCGAAGGAGGGAATGAAATCGATGGCTACTGAAGGAGGGATGGAGGAGCACTTGGAGCATTAAATGCGCCCC